TGCGTCCTTCCGCCCATAGCTACGCTATATTAGATCTCGTACAACTATTGCAAATTTCGCAAAATGGTATTTGACTTTTCTGTTATCCGTTCTACTTTCCTACGAATTGTGTCAAGAAAAATTGAAAAAGTGTTTGCATAGTGTTGTGTTGCTGTGTTCAATATGTCAAAATTTATACCAAATAAAGAGCATTCGCGGACAGCATTAATTTTTTGTTTTCATTTGAAGAAAACTGCTGCTGAATCATACCGATTACTTCGAGAAGCTTATGGTGAACATGCTCCATCGCAAGATACATGTGAATGATGGTTTCGGCGTTTCAAAAGTGGTGATTTCGATGTTGCAAACAAGGAACACGGAAAACCGCCAAAAAGATGCGAAGATGTGGAGTTGCAAGCATTGTTGGACGAAGATGATTCACAAACACAAAAACAACTCGCAGAGCAATTGAACGTTAGTCAACAAGCTGTTTCCAATCGCCTACGAGAGATGGAAAAGATTCAGAAGATCGGCAAATGGGTACCACATGAGTTGAACGAGAGGCAGATGGAGAGGCGCAAAAACACATGTGAAATTTTGCTCGAACGATACAAAAGAAAGTCGTTTTTGCATCGTATCGTTACTGGGGATAAAAAGTGGATTTATTTTGAGAATCCCAAGCGCAAAAAATCATGGGTAGACCCAGGCGCACCATCCACATCGACCGCAAGACCGAATCGCTTTGGCAGGAAGACGATGCTCTGTGTTTGGTGGGACCAGAAGGGTGTGGTCTATTATGAGCTATTAAAACCTGGTGAAACGGTTAATACCAAACGCTACCAACAACAATTGATCAATTTGAACCGTTCGCTGCTTGAAAAACGACCAGAATACCAAAAGAGGCAACACAAGATCATTTCTCTCCATGATAATGCTCCATCACATACGGCAAAACCGGTTCGCGACACGTTGGAAGCACTCAGCTGGGAAGTTCTACCCCATGCGGCTTACTCACCAGACTTGGTTCCTTCCGATTACCACTTACTTGCATCGATGGGTCACGCACTTGCTGAGCAGCGCTTTGGTTCGTACGAAAATGTGAAAAAATGGCTCGATGAATGGTTCGCGGCAAAAGGGGAAGATTTTTACTGACGTGGTATCCATAAATTGCCCAAAAGAAAATGTGGGGAAAATGTGTAACTAGCAATGGAGCATACTTTGAATAAACCTCTTTTTATCATTCTTCCGAATTTAACGTGTTTTTTTTTTTAAATCCGCATTTCATACTTATACACC